GAAAAAAAAAAAATGGAAAACGGAAAATGAGAGCATAAACAAACAGGGCCTTAGTGTATCCTTAGGTATATTTCGTCCTTGCCAAAAAGTTCCTCTTCTGATTAATGCTTTGATCAGTCTGCTATTTAATCCAATTTAAAGCTTACATATGATAAAAACAGAAAGAGAACACATTAATTAATAAACTGATATTTCGGAAGGCCCCATACATCTTCAAGAAGCATCTTGTGGATTTTGTGAGACTCCCACCATGTCAAATAATCTCAACTAAGCCCAATATTAGCTTAACATTCTGAAAACTGTTAATTTCTCTACACATTTGATTGCACGAAGAGCTAATGCCTGCAAATGGAGAAGGAAATTATATATTCTGTTGCCAAAGAAAGCTATGATCATGTGGAGTTACAGATTTAGGCCCTATTAGGAATGAACCAAAACACCAATGTGGTTTTCAGCCATTTTCAGTTTCCTACTGACGTGGCATGATCTGTGATCCTATTCTTTAACATCTAAGATGGAGATAAGTTTACAGCAAGTAGTCACCTAAATAGTCAGAATCTTATCTAATGAGTTATGGCTTTGTTCAGGATAATTTAGGATCCATGCTTTTAAAAGAAAAAGGGATTGAGACGTTAATAATCTGTTGGACAGAATTCACCTTTTTCATCATTTAAAGCTTCTAAGGAAAAAAGAACCATATGTTCATGAACCAAAACTAGGAAGGGGTCTTATAATGTTCTGGGTTAGACTTTTTGCATACATGACCTTTACAGTTTTGGGTTCTCTTAGTGGAATTATTTAGGTTGTCCCATTGGATTGGACCTCTAGTTCGTTTACTGGATTTTATGTAAAATAACATGAGAATTTTTTTAATAAAAATCTTGACTTGAATTGATTACCATCCATCTATTATGATTCCTCAATTTAGTGAAAGTACTCAAGAGGTAGTTTTTTATGCCAATTCAACAACTTTTTAGACATTAGATTGTTTTTGATGAATGGTCATGAATTTATGTCAAGATTTTAATTCAAAAATTGTAGTTACAATAGTTCAACCATTTTAAATATAATTCAAAGAGTTAACAAAATGTACCAAATTCTTATTTGTACTTTGTGACTCTAAATTTTGCTGCTCTTCGTTAGACATAAATAAATTTTTTAACTTGTTTTCAAGTTATTAAAGAGAGTGAAACTTTGTTGAGAAAATAAAAGGCTTGAAGTTGTTGAATTATGATTTATTTTCTGATTAAGCTTTCTTTAACTTTTCCTAACTGTTATGTTCAGTAGCTATAAATTCTATAATTTCTGTTGAATATAACCCTGTGCAGAAAGGACAAATCAAATGCTAGTATCACATCAATTAGGAAACCGTCTCCTAAAGACATTATTGGCTACAAGGAGCAGTACATTTATGCAAAGGTACTCAATTTGATCCATTTTTTGCATTGTGTATGTAAACACACATTACTCTTGCCATTAGTGGTGAAATTCATATAACTCATGAAAAAGACGAGTTTCTTATTGATTAGATTTAGCATTTGTTTTTGGCTATGATTTGGATGTTTTTTGGTAATCATCTTTTATAGAATCTACTTCACATTACACTATCATGGCCCTTTAGCACTTTCGTGTACTTAGAAATTGGACACATGAAATATTAAATCTGTGTATCTACATCCATATTCAACTGATATTTTTGAAAATAAATGACCTGCTGGTTTACAAATCTCTGAGCTCGATAAGTCCAAGCTTTGGTTGGTTTGTTAAATAATAACCCCAAACTGATCTTCGTGAGAAACAAAAAGGTTGGTCAATAGAGGACATTTGACTATTTAGATGGGATAAAACGGTTCTATGGGAATTGATGCTTTTAGCCTCGTTTTGGTTATATGGCAGAAATGAAATCTGGAGCACTCCAAACAGATTAGTCTCTTCGTTGATTCAAATGTATTCATTCTCAAACAAGTGTTGATGCATTCAGATATGTGTTCAGATTAACACTGGACCTCCTATAGGAACCATGTTTAACAATTGCATACTTTTTTTATTTTTTTAATATTGTCTCTTGTCCAGTTATTTTTGTGGATTAGGTGTGCCACAGAGTAATAAGTTCTGTAACAAAATGATTCTGACACAACAGTTGCAACATTGTCTGCTGAAAATGGCAATAGAATCTATGGCTCTTGAAACACCATACTAATTCCAAAGGCTTCTAAAGGACAGAAATAGGAGTATTTTATTTAGATGTGTGTATAATGGTTATTAGCCCTTGCTCTTCTCTCTCTCTCATTATAATAAAATAAAAAATGATTAGAGGTTTCTTCAACTTTTCTACACATCATATACCAAGAAGGATAAAAGACGTATAACTATGTACTTTCTTGATTCACTTCTGGGGCATTTATGGGCCCCTATAAAGATAGATTTTTGGAGGAACTTATCCTTCTATATCATCTTTAAAAAAATTGGAAGTATCCAACAGGGAAATTATCTATCCTGTCAAAAATAAACTTGCAAGAATAGTTGGTTGAAGCCTTCGTCCTCTTTATTTTTCTATATTCCCTTATCCCATCAAAATCTCAAATTCTCCGTGAACTCCATTAGCTATAAGTAATCTTATGTATCGCACTGGTGCAAATTCCTTTCAAAATTAAAGTTTTGATTCCAATTTAGATAAAGTGAAGGTATGGGATATGAGAATGAATATATACATTGATAGTGGGCCAAAGTGTACAAAGATGAGCGATGTGATTATAGAAGCAATTATCTCCTTTCAAAATTGTATACCCTTTGTATCTTCAATGGCTATTTGTTCGAGCATATTACTTTTGTCATGTATTTAATTTTATAAATCAAGCTGTAGGTTGACATGTTAGATTATTTTTCATTCATGTTATTTGGGAAGAAATTACTCTCATAATATTACTTCTGTCTGTTCCTATAAAAATATTACTTATGCCGGTTTGCCTTCAAGATGCATTGTGATCCCCTGTTGATATACAAGTCTACATACTATTATTATATGCATTGTTCATTTTTAATCCTTGTGCAGTTTTAAAATAGTCTTTACCAACTGCATCTTCTGAGAGGCTGTGATGTTAAATTTAAAGCTTACTTTTCTTAACCAGTATGTAGAGAAATTGCTAGTCATCAAAGATAAAACTGCGTCTCAAAATCAATCTCAAGCCACAAGCATCTGGGAAGCAGTTAAGGCTCAAAATTTGCAAGAAGTATATCACCTTATTGTGACATCGGAGGTGGATATCATCAATACCACCTATGATGATGTGGTTGGTGTAGATTTATATCACCATGTCGATGATGCAGAAGAATCAGAATTTGATGGCCAGAAAGCGAAAAGGAAAAATTATGATCCTGCAGTTTGTCAAAGAATCACCGATGCCAATGATCCAGGGATTTGTCTTCAAGGTTGTTCATTATTGCATCTGGCATGTCATTTTGGCAATCCTGTGATGCTTGAACTTCTGATACAATTTGGTGCCAACATAAATTTGCGCGATTTCCATGGAAGAACTGCTTTGCACCATTGTATCTCCACAGGGAATAATCCATTTGCAAAGCTCCTTCTTAGAAGGTAAATAGCTTATAATAATTCCTATTTCCTAAATTGAAAAATTAATTTGCATCTAATCAATACAGTTGCATTTCGCTGGTAGATTTTAAACCTAATATTCTGATTTGTGTACTATCCAGAGGTGCTTGTCCATCAATAAAAGATGGTGGGGGACTAAGTGCACTGGAAAGGGCAATGGAGATGGGAGCAATTACTGACGAGGAACTATTTATTTCGCTTGCTGAATGCTAGGGAGATTTGACACATAATGCCTAAATGTGTAACTTACATCAATCCCCTTCCTTTGTTTTTATGAAATAAAATATGTTATTCTTGTGCTCTTTAAATAAGAAAATTTTCCATTTGTTCTTTTCATTAATTTTTATAATGGTTACAAATAAGATTGTTCCCTCAATTTGTATTAGTTATTTGAATAATGCAAGTTAATTGTACTTGGATAAAAACTTATGTTTTATTGTCAAGGTCATATTATTGGTATTGTTTTAAAACCCGGACCGGAGGGCAACCCGTTTTGTTGTTCGGGTCACGGGTCAACCTGTCCAATCAGTTGGACTGCCGGTTGGATCGATGATGTCAGAGACAATTTTATTTTTAAAAAATTACATATTAATCCCTTAAATTTTATTATATTACAAAAATTCTCTTAAAAAAGTTTAATTAGTCCCTAAATTTTTCATTTATTTCAAAAAAGTCCCAACAAAATGACCAACTAATCCCTAAACTTTTGACATATCTCTAAAACACCTTTATAAAATTACAAATTAACTCTTATAATTTTAAAATATTGCAAAACCCCCCCTAAGACCTGAACTGGATTGGAGAAGCTGTCGGGTCCCAGTTCGACCGGCCGGTTCGGTTTTTAAAACAGAGATTATTGGATGGTGTTGTCACCTTTTTTAATGATTGTAGAGGGGTAATATAGCAACCATTGTTTTAAAACCCGACTTGTAGGTGATCGAGTCATGGCCCATGGGTTGATCGATTCAATCGATTGGACGGGTGATGTCAGTAGCAAAAATATTTAAAAAAATTATGATACAGTCCCTTAAATTTTAGGTTATTATAATACCCCTAAAATTTTAATTTATTTAAAAAATATCTAAATAAATCACAAAAGTATCCCTAAAGTTTTGAATATTGCAAAAACACCCTTAAAAATTACAAGTTAGTCCTTAAAAAAAATTTGTATTTAAAAAATGCCTAAATAAATTACAAGATTGTCCCTAAAGTTTTGAAATATTGTAAAAACATCTCTAAAAAGTAGGGGTGTTCGGTTCTGGGTATCCTGTATTTTTTGAAGGAACTGGAATCAAAATTGATGGTTTCTTGAAATTTAGAATCGGAATCGGAACTGACAGTTGCAGTTCTTGGGTACCTAGAACCGGAACCTGTAACAACGGTTTCGATTCCGAGTACCTTGTAAAATTACAAGTACCCTCTAAAAGTTTTTAAAATGGCAAAAAAAAACCCTTAAAAACTTACAAATACCCCTTCACCAGGCACTTGTTAACAAAAATAAAATTACAAACTCCATTACTTTGTAAAGGTAGATTCTCAAAAGCCAAACCAACTTACTTTAAATGTTATGAAATATAAATATAAATGTATTCACACTACTTTTTCTAAAAGAGTTTTTACGAAACCCCCCACTCTTTAATTTTATTTCATATTAGTCTTGGTCCCGGTTTCGGTTCCTGACTGTAGGAACCAAAATCGGAATTGCACAGTGACGTTCCAAAAATTTGGAACCAAAACCTACACGTTGACGGCCGGTTCTGGATAGGAATCGAAACCAAACCTCAGGTACTCGCCGGTTTCGATTTCAATCGATTCTTTTGAACATCCCTACTAAAAAGTACAAATTAGTCCCTATACATTTGAAATATAGTGGAAATCCTCTTGAAACCTAAACCGGACTGAAGAGGCTGTCGAGTCCCGGTTAGACCAGGCGGTCCAATCTAGGTTTTAAAACAATGATAGCAACAAGGTAAAAGGCCATAGATAAGGTTCCCATGAAATCAGATAGGTCATTCCAGAGTAAAGTTCTGAGACTATAAATGGAGTGTAAGCCTTGGGCTATAAGTTCATGTACTAGGTCTTCGATTAATGACACAGCTGCACGAAAGCACAGCCTTGGGCTAGAAGTTCATGTATCAGGTCTTTGATTAATGACAGTTGCATGGAAGCCATGTGCTGCATGCATTTTTATTGTCACAATGAACCCTAACAAACCTATAAAAGAAAAGCTCAAGCAAAGATTCGAAGTAATATTTGGTAATACTAAATTATATTATTTTGTAATTAGAATATGATTTGATATAATTGTAGTTTTGCTCAGTCTCAATCACTGTTTTAAAACCCAACCCAAGGGGTGACCCGGTCAGTTGACCAAGTCCCGAGTCGACTGGTCCAATCAGTTGGATCGATAATGTTATCATGCTGACATCAACAATGCAACAAAAATTATAAACCTGAAAATTTAAAAAACTCCACAACGTCATTCAATAACAATCTCAATATCATGCATCTCATAACAAATTAAATAACAAAATTAAAAAAAGGTAGTCACCTAATAATTAATAACAAAATCATTTGCTGCAAGTATTTTTTCTTTGTATAGTCTCCAATTCTTTTTGAATTTCAGACCTTGAAAGCTTTGTCAAATAGTTCTTCTCCGGACTGAAAGTCTGAAACCACATAAAAACCATGCTCACACAAGGAAAAGAAACTTTAGAATGTATACTCAACAGGCAACAATAACTTCAGTGTGTAAAGATATTATTATACATTGTATATAAAATAAAAACATACTCTGTCCATGTGTGTTAACCCAAATAGATTAATTTTACATTTTTTCTCTTTGAGTAATACTACACATACATCATTTTCATACAACATTTCCCATACAACATTATGTGGCAAGATATGATTGGCTAATTTAAAGTTAAAATTAAACTTTCACCCAATTATATCTTGCCACATAATATTATATAGGAAATGTTGTATGAAAATAATGTATTTGTAGTATTATTCTTTTCTCCCTAGTTCCCCGTATACATGGGATGCATGTTTTTAAGCTTTTTAGCTGTTTTTTTCATATGGTATTTTTAGTAACCAATAAATTAAAGCTGGTGTATTGATTGTTATTTCAACATCACTGCAGGAAATAAATTAAATAATCCTTTTGTCATCATTTTCATTATAAATTTAAATTAAATCACTGCTGTCAAATATATACAACATTCAAACTATACTAATCAACTCTCACCATTAAACAATTAAATCAATTCGGATTAACAATTCCAAAAGAAATGCCATCAGTGGGCACACATGCAAAATTAAGCAAGCAATCAATGCCACAAACAAAATATTTGTTAGCCAGGAGCAAGTACTTTCTAATGGAGTAAACGTCCCACCCGAAGTTTGGCAAAATTTTAAGTTGGTACCCCTAGTTGTATTTATTCCAGATTCCCACTCTTAAAGTAACACTGTTAACAATTTTTAGGTTACAAAGAGTGTTATTACCATAATAGCCTTAACAAATAAATTAATAAATTACTTATTAACCCCTAGATTAGTAGAATTATAAAATTAACCGTCTTGTTTTCAAATTATTTAAATAACACCCTCAGTGATTGTGCACCCTCTCGGTTTTTGCCCGATCTGGGCTGTTTTTGACGGTGTTGAACCCCCTGGTCACCTCCATCACCTTCCCCATACTCGATGTCTAAAACCCCTCTGGTTCCTAACTCATTGGCCCTTCTGATCACCGAAGCCATTAGGTTTAGGGTTTTGCTATTCTTCGCCATATTCCGATGTTAAAAATCCAATTGGACACCACCACTGCAACTAGCGTCTCCAACTCTACAAAACCCCTATGTCCCCAGTAATCGTTTAGTCGTTGTTCGTCGGCAAAGAGGTTCATGTTCATCGTGTTTTTGGAGCTGTCTTGGCCGGCAAACGGTGAGCTGTTGTGACCAGGAAGGCTAGGGGTTTTGTAAGGGGGGATGTGAGGAGTCAAATGGTGGTGGTGGTTGGGTTTTCACCACTCAAAATGGCCAAAAACTGGCAAAAAATAGTTGCACGATGCGATTGTCGTGGCCGACGGTTGGTGAGTGATGAGGGGTTGTGAAGGGTAAGGTTTTGTAGAGGGGAGGGTGGGGGTTCAAATGGTGGCGACAAAGATGATTTTGGGTGGAAGAATCGTCAGAAAAGGGAGAAAAATGTCGAGGGTGACGTTTGCTAACGTGCGTCGAAGCACAGTTAGAGGCAACGATCTACTAACGTGCGCCACCTCCTACAAATCACCAATTTACCCTTTTACTACTATATCAAACAATTTTCCATCACTTTAAGGGTAGGAATTTGGAATAAATGCAACTAAGGGCTCCAACTTGGGATTTCGCCAAACCTTGGGGTGGGAATATGTCATTTACTCCTTTCTAATGCATATGGTGATTGGTGAGGCAAATCCCAGTATTTCGAAATAAAAAAAAAAAGTGAAGGTTGATGTTGCTAAAAAGATTGCAATTGACTGGGACATGTTAATAAAATAGGTTCAGACGTCAGAGTAATGATAAGAAAAAGGAAACAAGTAAAGACACAATGGCCTCATTGGACTATGAAGCAGTGAGATGTGCCAATGTTGACGACATTTCTAACGCTATCAAAGAAAGAGGGATGAACAACACGCTAGCATAGATAATATAGGTATGTGTATTAAATTCTTTCTTAAAATCCTGAAAATTTGCTAAGATCAACTCCAAATGACTCTATGAACTGTTGAGTTGTAGAAGGAATAACTCTGTATAATAGGGATGAATTAGTAGAATAGGAAATTAGATTATTATAGTTTATTATGTTTACAATTATAGAGTAGTGTAACAAGTATATATAGATGTACTTTTTTTTTCATCAATATCTCAAGAAATACACAAGTATCATTCCTTATATTTTCCTGGTTTCACATGGTATCAGAGCTGGGAAATCAGAATTTTTAAACTGTGTTATTTTTTGTGTCCATTTTTCGAATAAGCTCAGACTGTCCTCATTCTGGTGTTGGATCAAAGATCTAACAACACCAATCTGCTCATTTCTCTCTCGTCGGCAAACCCCGGAAGCGCTTCACCATTCATCGCTGCATGCACCTCCACGCGCCGATCCTTTTCTCGATAGCTTCCTTCTCCGATATCCGTCTCCAGCAAGTGTGAGATCTCACCACCAGCACCAGT